ACCATTGGGTGAAATTGAGCAATGAGGAGAAATCGATTAGCAAACAATGATGTCGAACAGTGAACAACAAATGCAAATGATTTTCGCACACTATAGCAATATATCACACAGAGCAGACATTAATGTATACACAGCTGACTTCATGCAAGTCTGAACAAGGGTAGATTATCTAGAAACTCTGATCCCAACAATATAAAGTACACTCTTTACATTCGTTTGTTCCAGATAAAATACATTCACAACATTATTTGGTTATGAAACCGTCAATGACCAACTGTTCTTTAAAGGATTCCGCTCACAGTTCCTTATACAGTTCGTTTAGCGTTTAGTCCTGCTGACATGGCTGACATTTCTTGTGCACAATCATGACGATGTGGATCAGCTCTCTCGTCTCCTTGACTGGTTCCGTCGCTGTCTTACCGGGTATCCGCTGATCCGGTGGTTCACGTACTGCATGCTGTTCCCGTGCTCGAATCTCGAATCTGCTGCATTCCGTCTGTGCTACTCGTCCTTCGCCTAGCCTCGTTCCGTTCGTCATGGGCTAGCCTCGTTCCGTTCCTCATGGGCCAGCTGTAAGCAAGACGACAGCTCTCTGGTTTCCGTTCCACGCTTCGCTCAAGAAATCTCTACATCTAGACTAGATGGCGTGGAGATCTCACTGTAGCTGCACCCAACTACCAAAGCAAAATGTAGGCGGACACGATCTGTACTGATGTCTCTGTCATGTCTGTCTTTAATGTTGACAATGAACTGTCTCCAAAGATGAACACCGTGAGATCTGACAAGCAAATAACAATGATAATCATAAGTATAGATCTCAACAATTTGAAGGTTAATGTGGTAAATTTAGTCTTCACAAGGAATTATTCAATGAGACTCATATGACCTACAGAAATGACAATGGACATCTACATTACTATACTATAACATGCATGCATAAAAGACACAATTACTTTGACTTAATAAACCATTATTTTCTAACTTAATCCTACATTTAAGAGAGTAAAACTGATCCAATATTACTAAGTAGGATATTTACCTCGTGGGCCTGTAGTGGGTGTGCTTAATAATCTTAGGATGGTTGCAGAAAAAGGCGGATTAAATCATCCTCAGCGCAGCAAACTGCTGAGCACATTGTTGGAGAATCAGGCCATGTGCAAGAAGCAATGCATTATGGGAAAAGTAAAAGTTGCACAATTTTCCTCAAAGTTACTATAGTCTACAACAAAAACTAAATTACAATCAAACTAAAGTATCACAATATCACAAAAGACCTCTCACTTAATGTTTGGACTATTTTACATGTAGAAAACTTTGATCACATGACCAAACAAACATGGCTGCCTCCTTAAGAATGCACATGTACTGAACAATAACAAAGATGGCTGTCCACATAAACAACCCAGTGTGTGCAGCAAGTACCTAGGCCAGTTCACCAAACACATACAATGTCTTATCTACATGCACAATGGAATGAAACTTCCTTCAACAGCATATTGTGGCTAGCATAATTCTAGGCCCTATAAACAAGTACATGTAAATGTAAGTAATTAGAGGGAAAAAGTGTCAATAAAAAATGGAAACTTTGTCAGATTCTGTTACACCTTGTACATCCCTACATTTCTGCTTTGAATTAAGTACAACATGGTTCGTCCACAGAACACACCACAACAGAGATCATTTTTGGTAACAGAGTACCACCGTACTAACAGTGTCTCTGCAGTGCTTCGAAGGTTCCGCCAAGAGTACCCAAATGTACGCTGTCCAACACGAGTAACAGTTTACAAAAATTTTAGGAAGTACCAGGCTACTGGGACAAGTCGGAATCTGAACAAGGAACATTCTGGTCGACCCAGAACTGGTCGATCTGCTGCAAACATCCAATCTGTCCGTGATGTCCTGGAGGCACAGCAAGAAGCAGATGCAGGTGGCAGGCATGACGGGAGGATAAGCTGTCGTCGTAATGGGGTAGGGTTGGCCCCGGCAACCTTCAACAGGATTACTCACCTTGATCTGCATCTACACCCTTACCAAATCATCAAACGGCATCAACTCCTGCCCGGTGATCCACAGAGGAGGCGTCAATTTTGTACATGGCTTCTGGCACAGGGTCCACAGTTCCTTGATGATTTAATCATCGGTGACGAGGCCGGATTTTCCTTGAACGCCATGGTGAATTCCCACAACGTAAGGGAGTATCAGCCACGTGGACAAAAACCTGTTGATTTTGACTACCAACGAAATAACGACAGGCACAAACTGACAGTCTGGATTGGTTTGCTTGGAAATGGGTCAATCATTGGCCCCTTCTTCTTCAGGAACAACATCAATGGTGATGAATACCTGCACATGATTAATGAAGATGTCGTGCCAGCCATAAATGATTTTCGTCGATATCGTCCTGGCAGAAGAAATGGACAGTTTAGGCGTGCCTGGTGGGCGCAAGATGGGGCACCACCGCACAGGAGAAGGATCGTGACTGAACGTCTCGCCGAATTGTTTGGCGATCGCGTCATCGCATTGAACCGGCCCGTCGAGTGGCCACCAAGATCGCCCGATCTTACCCCACTGGACTTTTTCTTGTGGGGCCATCTTAAGTCTAACAACAAATCACATGCCTAAACTTCCCTTCCACGTTGTTTGATTCTGGTTTAACCCTTGCACTTTTGTGCGCAAGCCAATTCAAATCTGATGAAAGTGAATAGCTAGTGTTCACTCATGCGGAACAGCTGAGGATTGAAATGGTGGCAATTAAAGCATAAGACCTTGGTCCATCAATCATTAGTGACAGATTTTTGGAAAATTATAAAACATCCGTTTTTGATACATTTCTCTAAGTGTATACTTTTTGTATGTTTCTACTGCAAGGTGAGTTGCTGAGGTGTTGCCACTATGTGTGGTGTGTTGCGGTATAACCAGAGGTACATGTACCATGTACATTGTTTATGCTTTGACTAACATTCTAAACTTGTATTGGATGATATCCATGAAAAACACAACGCAGTATTCAGTGTTGTGGTTTCTACGTGTATGTTCCTACTGCAAGGTGAGTTGCTGAGGTGTTGCTGCTGTGTGTTGTGTTGCGGTATAACCAGAGGTACCATGTACATTGCTCATGCAATGTGGGGCGCTGTGGTCCAATGGTTACGGTGTTCGACTTGTGTGCCGTGGTACACGGGTTCGAATCCTGACCGTGGGAACATGGTGCTTGTGCTCTTGAGCAAGGCACTTTACCATTATTGCTTCGTTCTTCGGATGGGACGTTAAGCCGTAGGTCCCGTGCGTTGTGTAATGCACGTTAAAGAACCCAGTAACACTTGTCGCTAAGAGGAGGGGTTTGCCCCAGTGTTTCTGGCAGTGGCAGCAATTATGCGCCGCAGCACCTAGCAAAAAGGTGCTGCATAATGGGTCTCATAATGTTCATATACATGTACTTCATTTACCTGGCTTTGGTTGCATTCTCCCCAGCGCTTTGTATCCTCTGGCAAAAAGCGCTATATAAATACAGTTATTATTATTATTATTATTATTATTATCATGCTTTGACTGACATTCCAAACTTGTATTGGACGATATCCATGAAAAACACAACGTAGCATTCAGTGTTGTGGTTTCTACATGTACATGTATGTTCCTACTGCAAGGTGAGTTGCTGACGTGTTGCCACTGTGTGGTGTGTTGCGGCACAACATTACTTCTTTTCAGAACCACACATACTCACAAAAGAGATTTGTTCACATGGTGATACCGCAAAATTATCTTGTCTTAGTATCTTTCCACCATGCAAATCTCAACATTACTCATGCTTTGACTTACATTGCAAACTGGTATTGATATCCATGAAAATCACAATGTGACATTCAGTGTTGTGATGGCTATGTTCATATTGCAAACAAAAGTTGCTAAGATGTCTGTTACTTTAAGGTATGTTGTACACCAATACATGTACATTACTCGTACTTTGTCTGACATTCTAATCTTGTATTGGATGATCTCCATTTAAAAAACGTAACATTCAGTGTTGTGATGGCTGTGTTCCAAAATGCAAGTTGAGTTGCTGACATGTTGACACTTTGTTGTGTGTTGGGCCACAGCTATCAATCCCTGTACATTACTCATACCCTCAAACATTGTGTCAAAGGTCTAAAGATATTGAATGCTGATGAATACATAAGAAATTGGGACTCCAATAACGTCACAACCAGAAAGGATTATTTTTTTTTGTCCCAAAGTCTTGACCAGTCAATAAAACACAAACATCTGTTCACCAAAATCTGTTCATCTTACCTACATGTATTCATCATTGGCTTACAACTAATGAGCAATGACGGATATGTCTTGTCAATATATGCAGACAGACTTGTACAGTGGAACGTGGCTAGACCAAACACCGCTATACCGAACACCGCTATACCGAACATCGTCCTTGGCTCTTGATTTTTGTGTACATAACGTACTGAACATTGTTGTTGAAAAATATAAACAGAAAGTGACAAGTGGCTATCATTTCCCCAAGGAATAAAAGGGGCAGTACACCTTTTGCTGTAGGTAGTAAGCTCAAAAACTGTGTAATTATATACATGTAATTCAATAGCTGGCATGAGTTCAAAGAGTCGTCTTTCAGTATGTACATGTACATGTACCAGGGCATGCAGGGTGCAGTTCTGAAGCGCGCTATTTATTGAAAAGTATAGTACCATCGTACCAGCTTAAAATCGCTATACCGAACGATCGCTATTACAAACAATTTGTGTGGATCCTGCGGTGTTCGTTATAGTGGCGTTCCACTGTATTAAGCAAAGTGATTTGTAAATCTAACACATATAATTCTTCGTGAAAAAAAGAAAAAAAAGAAGAAGAAAACAAGTAAAACTGCTGCAAACTGCTTACTGACTGGATGGACCTGAAATATATAAATCTTAAAATTACTGTGGCCTGACGTTGCGAACTTAGCAAGTTCTTCTTCAGAGGCTAAAACATAATTCTTCGTTACTCTCCAGCTTCAAGGAATATGACGGATTGGTGGCTGTCCTATTGGGTCAGTCACACCCACAGCTCTGTTCCGATCAATGCAAGCTCCAGCCCTGGTGTTCTTCTGCAGGGAGGCATTATTAGGTTAGTGTATTTTTAATACTGCAGTGCGGTTGAGGATCATGCAGTCTGGGAAAGTTCTGGGGAATATATGTGAGGGGCTCCCTCAGGTTCAATATGATAAAAGGGAAAAATCTAAAACAATTTCAAAATTGTAAAACATATTCAAAAATACTTTAATTTGTAAGATGGAATTTTGCGTCGGGGTGATATAAATCAAACTAGGTTTTGCCCCTCACCGACGTTTAAACACTGTATACTCAGTGTGTTACATCTTATAATAGTTTATGCGGTACCTGCTGCTATGTACATCAGATTCGAACCAGCCAACTGATCCCGTTAGCTCGGTGGTCGAGTGGTAAGACGTCTGCACTAGAAAGCAGGAGGTCGTGGGTTCGAGTCCCACCCAAATGTTTTTTTTCCCAACTTTCACTTGGGAGGTAACACACTGAGTATACAGTGTTTAAAACGTCGGTGAAGGGCAAAAACCTAGTTTGATTTACTTTACTTTGTTTACTTTGTAGTTGAGTACGTCACAAGTTGGGTTACAAGTAAATCACAAGTCAGTGCACAAGACTGTTGTCCCAAATCATTTTAAAGTCATGCGACTTGACTTATAAATCTGAATGACTTGTGATTGAGTTTCGATGGACTTTTGAGGACTTATTGAGACGCACTGGTAAACAGCAACATTTTCAGGGTTCTTTACAATGTACATCTCTCGGGATAGGAGTAGGTTTCTAGATTTGTTGAACAAGAAAGTTGGGAGGGGATTGTGAATTAAAGTTAACATAATTTTGCAGGGGAAATAAGGCCAAAAAAGTCTCCGGTTTCTGGTATGGAGCTTGCCCCAAAAGTGGTGCGGTGAAGCGTCTTTTTTAAATTTATTTTTTACTTTTTTTTCCTTCAAATGTCGGCTGATGACTGCAAATGGTGCCCGACTAAATTTAGTGCAAAATGTATTGGAGCCCAGAGAGGCCACATAAAGCTTATACTCGATCGTAACCCCATCTAAAAACACGTTAAAATTGTGCAGCAGCAGGATTCCAGTCAAACCAGTGAGTATGGCAGTTTTTGAGACATCATCTTACATTGAAAAGTTTTTTTTAAAATTTTGCCGACGCGCGCGCGCATACCAGAAACCGGAGACTTTTTTTGGGGGGGGGGGCGCCTAAAGGGACATTTGCAATATGTTCAAGTCCTTTCTACATGCTGTGTTACCGAGTGAGCGGGTAGTAGTGCATATATTTGCCACTTTCCAAGATTTTTAAAACTAATTTGTCGCTTACAAAACTCCAGTTTACCTAACTCTTTTTCCTCTACTTGCCTACAAGGGAACGGAATAGTGTTATGGAACTTCCTTGGACCAGGACGAACCTGACTAGCGGTGACAATCTTGTATTCTACCTGGGCATCTATGGTGGCATAGTAGGAGCAAACAGCATCTTCACTTTGTTCAGAGCCTTCCTGTTTGCTTATGGCGGCCTGTGTGCTACCAGAGTCGTGCACAAGAAACTCTTGGCCAGCATTTTTAAGGTAAAAAAAAGAATATCGGAAATCAACTGAAGCAAATTGAAGTGGATTATATTAAGTTTGAAAGTCTAAATCCTGTTTAAGTCAGTTTTCATCTAATGGAATTTGGCTAGGTATATACAGGGTGGATAAAAAAAAAAAACGAAACCGAGATATTATTGCTTTTTGAAACAGAAGTAGGGCACATGTGAATCAAATGGAGATATCCTCTGTTAGGATTGAATCTCCTCTTTAAAATGACACCCTGATCATGTCCTTACATTCACGGTTGACTGAGCAGTGACCAATTTTATGAAAGGGTCTATTTAGAGAACTGCGCCACTTTTTCCATTGTGGTTTTTGTTGTGTCATTTGTCACAGAGTGAAAGTCTATGGTTGCCAATGGGAAAAAAGAGATCTCACCATGAAAAGTGGCGCAAGTCTCTAAATAGACCCTTTCATAAAATTGCTCACTGCTCAGTCAACCGTGAATGTAATGACATGACCAGGGTGTCATTTTAAAGAGGAGATTCAACCCTAACAGAGGATATCATCCTTTGATTCACATGTGCCTAACTTCTGTTCCAATAAGCAATGATATCTCGGTTTTGGTTTTTTTTATCCACCCTGTATAATACCTATATGTTTGAACAAAGAGTTGTAGCAGGATTTGAACCAGGAATACCATAGAGGTGCTCTACCAACTGAGCTGTCCAGCCCCATGTTGGTGGTATCCCAATTTGTCATTGTCTTTGTTCAAGGGGCGCTCGTCAGAAGCCATAAACCAGTATGAGCACATCACTGTTCCTTTAAAAGGACTTGTGCCTTTGTTTCATTTTATGATATAATAATAATAATTTGGGAGGCTAATCATCCTTACTCGCAGCTGGTATGCTGAATTGCGAAGGACGCGGCTACAACGTGGTCGGGCCGCTGGCACGTAAAGGCGCCTATGGCTGCCGGCCACATCGACCCATATATGACCACGGAGCACAGCCTGAGAACGAAAGTGTTTTTTGGTTTATTTTGGTTTATTTGATTTCAAAAACAAGCTCGATCGGATCTCGGAAGCTGCGGGCCAACGAATGCGTGTTCATGCACGAGTCATGTGATTGTGCCATGTTATTGCTGGAAGGAGTAGTGTTTTGAGTTAAAAACTCAGGTTTTTGACCCCAGTGACCCGACACCAGTTTGGTCATGTGACATGTTGGGGCTGGGCTACTGACACTTTTGACAAAGTTTGGTTGAAATCGGTCAAAATATGTAGGAGCAGTAGACAATGTCAACGTGTGTTACTAACAAAATAACTATTAACTAACTAACTAACTAACTAACTGAGGAACAGAGACACAGGATGACTTGTTAAGCTGCCTTCCAGCATGTCCAGCAGCTAAAAAAAACTGCTATGAAGAAACTTTTGAAAATTAAGACATTGATTTGTAAAATCACCCAGCAGATACATCTTGCAGAGATGCCACTTTTCCGGTTTTAACCGGAATTCTGTTTTTTAAAAAAAATCTCACAAAATTCCGGTTTTTCCGGCTGTCAAATTAACCAGAAAAAGAGAAGAAAAACTGTGGAAATGCGTTGATTTTTACCTCGATTTAGTACATTTAGGCGCACGCATGGCACAACATTGTTCGTTGAAGAAGTCTTAAACACAGTCATTGTGTATGTTGTTGCCGAGCCTGTGTGCGATACAAGCGGCCAACATACATGTACTTGCACGCAGTATACAACGGCGCCTCGCGCGTGCTTCACCGCGTGCGGGCGTGTTGTGTGCTAAGCACACATAGCATTCAGCCTGAAAATCAAGTCTATCATTTCAGCTATCGGTGGTTTCCGATCGCAGTGATTTATGTGAATACAAAAAATGCGGGTACCAACCATGTTTTCGTTGAGCCCATCGCGTAGTGCAAGGATCATGTACACCGACAGCAGTGTTGTGGAATCGTGCATGTTTCGTGTCGAATATTACGTTGGAAATTTGGGTAGGCAGAATAAATATTAGGAATATGGAAAAAGTCAAAGTGATTGAACGAACCAACAGCTTTAAAGGCCATAGAAGCAAAATTTAAAAATAAACAGAACTTGGCTTGGCTACAAGATAAAGATGGCAACAGGGACTTTGTGTCGGACACGGAGTGGCTTTTTCACACACACAAAAGTTCCGGTTTTTTTTGAAGCAGACCCAGTTCCTTTTTTTTCAAGCAGACCCTGTGGCATCTCTGATCTTGTGATTTCAAGACTTCGGGATTTTCAAGTATTGTCTAGTGTTTGAGTTGTCCTGAACAGTGTCCGATCTTTTGTCAATTATTTTAATGTCAGACGAGGTAAAAACAAACTACTTTAAACATGTGCGTAGGAGTGGAGTCAGGGGATCGCCCAACTTTTTTCTCCAGTTCCTGTCTGCGAATATACCATGAACATACCTTGTTTCACCCAACTATCTCAACACGTGTTCAGAAAATGAATCACCAGTCAACTTTTGATTCATTTTGTCTGGTTTTCATGATAAAGCTTTTCAAAATTTACCCAGAACTTAAAAGGATTAAATATTGACATCTAAAAAACTATCTCAACAAGTGAGTTGAGTCATTTTTGCAGAGCAGGTCATATTTGCATCAAGTCTGTTTATCAATTTTACACCATACATGGGATGAATACATGGGATGAACTCATGAAACATAATCGTTGAGATGTGGAAAAATCATTGACGTAGTCTATAGACTACCTTATTTGAACCGTTTACTGCGATACTTTCATTGCAGGCCCCTGTCTCTTTCTTTGACACGACGCCCATTGGCCGCATCATCAATCGTTTCTCCTCTGACGTTTACACCATCGACAACGATCTCCCGTTTGTCTTCAACATCTTCCTGGCATCTCTCTTCAGCACAGTGGGAGCCTTTGCTTTAGTCTGTTATGGTCTGCCCTGGTTTGCCATCGTGCTGCTCCCAATGTTTATACTCTACATCTACATCCAGGTACCAAATAAAAACCCTCTTGATCAAGTTTTGTCTTTTGTTGTAACATTTTTACAAATATTTCTTATGCTTATGAATATCATTGTTATTTTGTGAGACCTGTTAGTAATATTTATTATTAAGGTTATTTGGGGACATTCCCATAGACTTGTGCACAAAATATTTCCATCTTAATGTCAGCTTACACCAATTATTTTGTATATGCCAACCCACCTGATGTGTCTAATCTTAATTTTAGCCAATCTGTATATATGCTATAACCTGGGGAGGGGGCTCCTCAGTGCCAGGCATGCAACTTTTCCTCGGATTCACTGATTTCCTTGTTGTTTACTTCTCATGAATGCCATTACAAATTGAAAAATACTGTACAAAGTCTTGTATGGATATGAGTTTCCTTGTTTTTTTTCCTGAAATCCCAGTTGCATGCCTATACTCTTCTGGTTATCGCCGCTCCTAATTTTTATGTTATGTTCAGTATTTGTAGTCATTCGTTTCTGCTAACTGTTTGTAATATTGTGATCTCTGTGTGTTTTATTATTACTCTATTTTTTTTGGGGGGGGGGGTCAAATGTTGTTATTGCATTATTTTACACAATGTACATACACAAGTGTGCTTGATGTGTCTTATCTTAATTTCAACAAATTTGTCTCCTTTTTATTTTCTGCAACCACTGTGCAATTCAGCTTTCTGGCTGCAAACATGTGGCACTAAACAAATAGTACTTATAATAAATACTAATAATAACAATAATTTGTAGCCACAGTTCACAGCGAATGGAGGCTTAGTGATACAAAGTTTTGTTGTGGAGACAACAACATGGAAATTGTAATATCGGACTCAAAGTTGAGGTCTGTTGGCTACTTTAACAATATAACTGTTCGGTCTTTTTTGTTGAATAGAATGGCAGAATGTCAAAAAAATGCCTAGTTTCATTTTTTCCCGCAATAAATTGGAAACTAATTATTTTGTTGATACATCACTTCATCATTACTTACCTTTGTTTGTTCATCAGAACTACTACAGGAAGACTTCTCGTGAATTGAGGAGGATTGAAAGTGTGACAATGTCTCCAGTCTATGCCCACTTCTCAGAGACCTTGGCAGGGCTGCCAACCATCAGGGCACTGAGAGCCACTGAAAGGTAGGTCACCCAAAAACAGGAAGGTTTCTGTTATTTTTCCTGCAATATATCTGGGACGTGCTGTCCTGCCTTCAGATTTAGAACTTTGCAGTTATCTCTGGCCCTGTTGATGTACAGTAAACTCCGGCTAAACCAACATCGTAAAACTTGTCAAATCGCTCAAGTCGGCCGTCTGACTTAAGTCCCGATTGTCCGTAATGCATTTCCATTGAATTTTTTTTATTTCTAAGTCGGCTGGTATAAGTAGCCATTTCGCTCAAGTCGTCGTGTTGTTCTCGGTCCCCTTTCCATAAAAAGCATTACAAAATCCCAAGTGTAAGTCGGCATTCAACAAATCACACATTGGCATCGACTTCCTGTTCTGTTCCTGTTCCAAGCATCGGTGTCGCAAAAGGGTGTCCTACTAATATACTGCATGCAATGTACATCGCATGTATCATGAGCATATCAATACCTCTAGGCTGTACGCATGCGCTCTGTCCATTTTGGGGGTCGTCTTATTGAATGACTGGTGCTGCTGTCAATGCGCGCGTGATATATTCCGGACCACGCACGCATTTTATTTGTTAATGTGCACGTACATTACGGTCGTTAGTGATCTCCACTATCAATACCCCAAACGTGATGATACAATTTGAGGATTAATTTGCTGGATTCTACTCAAGCATTAAAAAGATAAACCAGATAAAATCGAAGCCAATTAGTGCAATGAATCATGTGTGCAATAAGGCCATTCATGTAAGTCGGCAAAATGACGACTTACAGCAGATGTCGGCATTCGCGTAAGTCGTCACAAATTCTTGGGTCCCGAGAGTGCCGACTTAGCCGGAGTTTACTGTACATTCGAAGTATGTGGGATCTAACAACCAATCACGTGTAACAGAATTTGGAAGTGGAATATCAAGTCCATTCCATTTAGCTATTTTCGATGGATATACATGTGCGACACTTTCAGATGTGGTCAGTGGAGATCGAAGATGGTATGTTTGCTTGACACTGATGTTTGTTGAAAAAAATAATAAGCAGATAACCTTCCTACTCAAGTCGCATTGTTGTTTTGTACCGAGGTATATGTGAGTGACCAGTCGTTGCTTCAAGTCGCACTTTTTAAGAGTTGAGATATTTATGTATCCGGATTCTGCAGAACAAGAGCTATACAACATTAAGGGGTACCGAGTTCACTAGCGGAAATATAGACCACCTACTTACTTGAAGTTGTAATACGGATTCCTGAGAAAATGGCATTTAAATATTTTGCAGTTGTGTTACAGTAACTGAACAGTCAACTAATAAATGAGATGAAAATAGGTTTTTAGATGTTTGATGGAACAAAGAAATTGGAAAAAGGTATAAGGTTTAACCTAAAAACAAAAAATCAACCACCGGCCCCTTCATATTTTGGCTTTACCCCACTGTACTGCAAAAAGGCAATTTTCAATTTGAGCTCATTTCGTGGTGACAGGTCACATATTTCAAATCATTGTTTGTTTTTGTTTTTGTTGACCTTCAGGTTTCGTTTGGAGAATGCCTCCAAGTTGGAGACCAATCAGAGGGTGCGTTTCTGCAGCTTTGCCGTGACATGCTGGCTGTCAGTCTGCCTGCAGATGCTAGGCGTTGGGATCATTACTGCTGTAGCAGTTATATCTGTCTTGGAGCATAGATTTCAGACCGTTAGTCCAGGTACGCACTGATGATAAGCCTAATGGGCTGGGAAGATTATATTAAAGGTATAGTCCATCATTTGTAATTTGTGCATTTTGTTCGTTTGAAGCAACAAAAATGCTCAAGATGTAAAGAAGGGCACTGAACAACTAACCTGATGGAGTTTCAGCTCAGCTTTAGCTGTATATTCCGAGAAAAACAGCATTCTAGGATCTCAATTTCAAATCAAAAGTTGCTGAATCATGTTTTAAATTGGGCCTGAATTCAGCATCCGAGACACATTCTCACTGAGCCGATTGCAGCTACGCGATATCGCGCACTGATCAGACGAATTAAAGCAACCGCGCGCGCGTGTGCGTCGTGCCAATGCTTGCGCGTGCTTCGCCGAATAACAAAACGAACTACTAATTGGAATTTCCTACGGGCCTTCTTTTGTTGATTTCTTCAATATGACAGCTTGCCAGAAAGAATAATGTCACTGGGAGTTTAGTCCCCTTACTATCTTTTACTTTTTGGATAGCTGCAAATGATGGCCTCTGGCTTTAACCTGAACACTCCCAGACACAATGTACTTCAATATCCATCAACAGGTTTGGGAGGATTTTATGAGGAAGGTTAGAGCAAGGCCAATATACTTTACACAAGACTGGATGCCCCTTAGTTTTAGGTACAAATGTACATGTACTGATTCTTGTCTTGATGTAAATTATGTGGAATCACTGAAGACTCCCAACAAAAGTTCCAATGGAGTTATAGTCGAAGTGTAACAATTACACACTTTTGGTTCATTACCGACATCATTTCAGATAATTTTTACCCTTATGATACTCATGTATTATATGGGATACCCTACTTGCTTCACCTGTTATTCAGTTCAAACAGAGGTTGACATATGGTGTAAATAGATTTTATGTTCCGAAGAGGAATGTTTTTTTTTAAGAGTGATTCTTGAAAAGAAAACCTCAGTAGAAATTAAAAGTTCTATATGGGATTTTTCATTCATTTTTTACAGGGAACATGTAAAACACACACAATCTAGTGAAGTTAATACAAAACAAGTAAATTGACAAACGAAGATAAGAAACAAGTAAGCTAGGCAAAGAAACTTACGCAAACAGAAAAATAGCATGAGCATGATATAACACCCCAGAGGGATTGCCAAAGTGCGAATTGAATCACACTCGGGATACAATATTAACCAGTTCGCGCCGGATGACGTGTATACACACAAAGGTTTTGCGGTATTAGGAACGGATGACAGATAAACACGCAGGGAGCGAGGCTGCGTCAGCGACCCGCTGGCTTGAGGTCGAGTGTAAAGTAATCCTGCGCCTCATTCCATTCTTGTCAAAATAATCCCGGTGCGAACTGGTTAATTATGCATGCACAATGTTTGTCGGAAAATGGCTGCACACTCATTCAGAGAATTTTATGAATTATGTGTGTTTCTGTGCAGGTTTGGTTGGGTTGGCCATCTCTTACACCCTGTCCATTAGCTCCTTGCTTCAATCCATGATCACAACTTTCACTGACACAGAGAAGAACATGGTCAGTATGGAGAGAGCTCAGCAGTATATCACAGGCCTACCCACGGAGCAGCAGCATGGAATGTACAAGGTAAATTGATTGTGTGGTCAGGACACCTGTTATACCTGTGAGTCATGCATATAATAGCATAAAAAGTCTTTGGACTCCAGGCATAAGAGGTATAAAATGGCACATTGTGATATCTCACAAGAGTTCTAGTGTGAGGTAAGGATGTGACGTTTACCAATTGAAGGTTTAAATGAAAACAATTTTAAATCCGTTTATAAATTTTTCCAAAACATTTAAAGGAAACCTGCATTATAAAAAAGGGACCTGCGTTCACGCGATTTGAGTTAAACCTACATAGCACAAGTAATTAACGATGTTTTCAAACCTATTTAATTTACAAAACCTTATAAGCACCACAGTACTTGATTACGTTAGCGGTACACATTGTTAAGTTTCAAAAACTTCAAAGATTTTTTAATGACTGACATTGTTGATTTATCTTGTCAATCATGCCGATCTGCAGACATAATGGGCAAGTGTCAACCTTTGTAAATGGCTAAACGTATAAAAGTTTAAACGGTTCTTCAAATATTTGCTAAACGTTTGCAAACTTAAACGCAAAGACGTTTTGCAGTGCAGTTAATTGGACTTGCTTGAAGTACATGTACATGTAGTGTTTTTCATAGAGTCTTCCATGATGCACCATGTTAGACTCATGTGCTGTGGTACGTGAGTTCGAACCCTTACAGGGAACATGGTGCTTGTGTTCACGGGCAAGACACTTTACTACAATTGCCTCTCTCCACCCAGGAGTATGAATGGTTACCTGTGAGGGTAAAGATCAGGTTGCGCTTATCTTGAGCTGCTGCAGAAAAATGGCATCGTGTCCTGATGAACAGGTGTAATAATTGTGAAGGGCTTTAGCTCCCTCGGTATAAAGCGCTAGATATAAGCACGTCATTATCATTATCATAACAATAGCAACAAGTAAAATAAGGGCCACTCAATTCCAAAACCTGAGTATTCTCACTGAAGACTCTCAGCTCAATCCTGAAGTTTGGATTCACATTTGCTGTTATTGCTAGTTTTATTTATGATAGCGTAATTCCTCATGTTTACACATAGGCACCACCTTCCTGGCCCCAGCATGGTCAAGTGTCCTTCAAGAATATCTCCTTTGCCTATCGACCAAACCTCCCGAATGCGCTGGATGGAGTGACCTTTGACATACAACCCTCAGAGAAGCTTGGCATTGTGGGAAGGACAGGATCTGGGAAGTCGTCACTATTACTGGTCCTGTTTAGAATGGTGGAAATACAAGGTGGTCAGGTGACTGTCGATGGAGTCGATTCAGCACACTTGTCGCTGGAGGAGCTCAGGTAAGAGGAGATTGGACACCAGACTCTGCTGTGAAGGTAGCAGACCAGTAAATAAACTTCCATAGACCCCAATGGTAAATGCTCCCACTTCAGAAATTCGGGAAAAATACTCACAACTCTCCAAGGAGTTCGAGACACACATCAAATTAAAGCTTATTTCATCATCTTTCATTTTCTTTTCAATTTTCGGGGGGTCAACTGATGACTTTTAGGAGAGATTTCCATCTGAAGATGATCACCCCTGAAAATAGTCCTGAAGCCCATCGCCATTTTGAAAAACGATGCCTACACTCCATTGCAAAATAGAGCACTTTTAGGGTCCAAATTACATCCAAATTACACAGAACTGCAAGTTCCCAATCCTATGCACGGCTTCCACCCAAATTTTTTACAAACCCTCAAGTTCATGGCCCACAGCATGCTCAAATACTGAAGATTTTGAGGGCATGCAAATCGTGATTTGGCCGGCGTAGGCAATTTCAGACCAATTTACTGGTCTGCACCCTCTAAGAAGTCATTCCCAATCAAAGTAACTTGTACACTTAATCAAAGGAACAACTACCGTAACAACCTCCTAGATGGCCACTACGCATAAGAGTTGATGTATGTCATAGAGCTATATTAAACTACCAGAGTGCTAACTCGTCATTCTGCACGCGGAGACGCTTTGAAGCCGTCCTGGGCGCAGACATTTTGAATTCATGTACGTGTTCGTAGAACATAATGAAATTAGATGGATTGAATTTTGAAAGTGTACTCTACATGCAACGCGAAAGAAGAACATACGCAAACAACTTAAGCGTGTCATTGACGGTTAAAAAAACGTGACGGCAAAAAGCATCTGCAGCAAATACGCGCACGCGATGCGCTGTTTGCGTAGAGCAACATGACACGCTCATTTGCTGATCATGCGTTTCGGTTTTGGCGTACTGGCTTTGATAACGCACCGGTATGGAATACAAACGCAGATATGCAAATGACCGTACAAAAGCCTTACAAAATTTCTAGGTCTCCATAGGTTTGTGCACAAACATGGATGCACCCAGCAGGCATTACTTTGTACACGAAGTAAGCGCTCTAGTAATTTAATATAGCTCTATGATGTATGTATACCCTTGTGTTACAACTTCTTCTTTTTTTCTTTCTCCTAATGTCAGATCCAAGCTTGCCATCATACCCCAAGATCCCTTCCTCTTCATCGGCTCAATCAAGGAAAACCTGGACCCAACGGGACAATTCTCAGATGCTGATCTCTGGTCAGTGCTGGAGAAATGTCACCTGAAGTCTGCGGTTCAGAGCCTGGGAGGTTTAGAGGCTCAAGCCGGGGAGAAAGGCCGCAAGTTTTCAGTTGGTCAAAGACAGCTGGTGTGCTTAGCCAGAGCCATGCTGACCGGTGCTAAGGTGAGAAGTGAAATGGAGAGAAAGTAACAAAGTGATTTCATTTGATTCAGTTAGAATGAACTATGAACTGTCGCAAAACTGCCCTAGTCAGCACCTGGTTTGGCAGTATGTTGATGGGCTCAGCACTGTGCATTACAATCAACTGCCTTAAGACGCCCCAATTTTGATTGAGTACTGCACAGTGTTGGAATTTGAAGGATTTGATGCTTCTGTTTTAAGAGAAGGGTTGGAGATGGATTCACAGATGTTTTGTGATGGCAGAATTCAGACAAAGCTTACTTTTAAACTATTCCCCCAATCTAATGCAAATAATTCTGTAACACATTTCCTCTTAGGTTTCCCATCAATCCAGTCACAGTTTATTCTGAAAGATTGTTTGATATACAGGCAGGACAAAATGGCCCTTACACTAGACCATCCTGTCAACAGCAGGCATGTCTCATTATTCTCCGAATCTGAATAATATAATTTACAAGGCATTTGTCTGGAAAAGTTGAACCAACTTGTCATGCCGTGAATCCTCTTATACCAGAATACCCGAGTAAAGTAGTAAAGTAAAGTCTGTCGCGAGCTCATCAGGCCGGCGTTTATCTCCGGTTTCAGTAGCATGAAACGACTGAGAATATTTCTACTCCCCCTGGATGGGATGCTAGTCCATCGCAGGTTACTCCCCAGTTAATGCCGGTGATGCTGGTACCCATTTATACTCCTGGGTGGAGAGGGGCAAGTGGGGGTGAAGTGGCTTGCCCAAGGACACAACATATGACCAGCAGCTCGATTCGAACCCCAGATCCTCTGATCATGAGTCACGAACCCTAACCACTAAGCCACACACTCCCCACTAATACCCAAGTATAGGGCTTATATTCGGGTTTTCGCCGGAGTTGGTACCAGGATTTCAAGCCTCTCTTATCTCAAGCTGTAATCCCCTTGGGGGAATTTAGTACCGGATGAATGCCCAACAGCAGCAGGGAACGATTAGTATCCTAGACTGAATGATGTGTGGGACATGCCTATATCTTTTTAATACATGCAGATTTTCAAAAATTTAACAGCCAATGTAATATTTGTTTTATCAAGTAATGAAATCATCTATTATTTTTGTAATTGTTGAAAATGGTGCATGAACAATGGAAATTCTGAATTGTGGGAATCTATATCCACACCTGCAGTGTGCATACATGGTGTATGTGTGTACGTCTATTCCTTCCTCCATGGTTCTACATAACCCCCGAGGACTGACACACAAAGGGAGAACAACAGATCCTTTCAGTCCTATCAGGCTTTGGGTCCTTTGTTGAAAAGGGTCCTCCATCATACGGTTGTGTGCTTAGTCTAAGGGAGAGTGTTATTTTACAGGGACAAAGGGAAACACAAAGCATTGCCCTTGAGAGTATAGTAAAACACGACTGTTTGTACAGACACACCCTCTTGTTTTACTATACTCCTAAGGACAATGCTTTGTTGTGTTTCCCTTTGTCTTTAAATATAACATTCTACCATAGACTAAGCACACAAACCTACTACCGAGGACTGTTTTGAACAAAAGACCCAACGCCCGAGGACTAAAAGGATCTGTTGTTCTCCCGTTGTGTGTCGGTCCTCAGGGGTTATGTAGAACACGTACAAATGTACATCCAGAGTTTGTCACTGGCCACCTGTGGTTTTGGCCATTTGCTTGACGGGATTTACCAGATACTGTTACAGTGGGCTGGATAAAAGATAACAATGAAATACAGTAAACTCCGGCAAAGTCGGAATTCTCGAGACCCGAGAATTTGTGACGACTTAGGCGAATGCCGACATCTGCTGTAAGTCGTCATTTTGCCAACTTTCATGAATGGCCTTTTGCACACAAGATTCATTGCGCTAATTGGCTTTGATTTACCCTGGTTTATCTCCTTAATGCTTGAGTTGAATCCAGCAAAATAATCCTCAAATTGTATCATCACGTTTGGAGTATTGATAGTGGAGACCACGACGCATATGTACGTGCAAAGTAACGAATTAAATGCGTTCGTGGTCGCGGTATACAATGTATACCATGCACGCATTGACTGCAGCACTAGTCATTCAATAAGACGACCCCCAAAATGGACAGAGCGCATGCATATAGACTAGAGGGGGTATTGGTATTGATATGCTCACGATGCATATGCGATGTATGCAGTAGGACACCCTTTTTCGACACCCATACATTCAGCGATCATGATCCGTGCCAAACCACTTTTCACTCGAGACTAGAACCGCAGTACAGGAAGTCGATGCCAATGCGTGATTTGTTGAATGCCGACTTATGCAAAGGATTTTGTAATGCTTTTTATGGAAAGGGGACTGACAGTAACACGACGACTTGAGCGAAATGGCGACTTATAAAAGCCGACTTAGAAATAAAAAATTCAATGGAAATGCATAAGGGACAATCGGGACTTTATTCAGACGGCTGACTTGAGCGATTTGACGAGTTGTACGACGTCGGTTTAGCCGGAGTTTACTGTACTGGTATGGAAAGACCCTGGTTCTTGCCGAGTCAGGCATGCATTTTCCATAATCCTCTCTATCCCCTCTCTGTCTGCCCTAGGTCCTGTGTATTGATGAAGCCACGGCCAGCGTGGACATGGCAACGGATCGCCTCCTCCAGCAGACCATCCGGCAGGAGTTTGCGTCCAGCACCGTACTGACCATCGCTCACCGACTGGACACCATCATGGACAGTGACCGGGTGCTGGTCATGAGTGCTGGCCGGGTGGCTGAGCTGGCCAGCCCAGGGGAACTTCTAGAAGATCCTACCTCAGTGTTTTATGGCCTTGTTAATAGCGGTTCTAATTCAGCTGATAGGTTTGTATAATACAAGGATCCAATACTCAGGGTCAGTAAAATATTACAGTTACAGTATTTTATTTTCCTTTGAATATCCACCCAAGAATTTGTATCAGATTCTTATAATGCTGTATTTTTCTATTCATGAAATTGTCAAAATAACTTCAATCATTCTAAAAGCAATTAGGGCACCACTTGTATCCGGGTATTACCGTTTGATAATGTAATACAATGTAAACAAAATAATGGGATTATATTAACCCTTTACGCCCGTATTGTTCGGCCACGGACAGCTGCACTGTGAGTGGAATGTGTACATGCAGGCATTCGGCCATTGTCTATGAATGAATGCGGCTATGCAGCAGGAATGCGGCTACAGCAGTCCCCCAGATTATCTGCTTTCATCGAGCTGCGTCTATAGCCGTCATCTGGCATCAAAGGGTTTAGCAACTGTTTAAACAGTGGACCATTCTTGTGTTTGCAATTTTATACATTGATTAGATTCAGTGAACAATGGAAATTTTAATACATTTAAAGGAAAATGTTTACTTTTAATTTCTTGAATGAGAATCCATTTTATCTTTCATTAATAAGGGTTTCACCAAACAAAACTTTGCAAGTTAAAAAAGGGTCTTTCGAAATATATTCCCAATTTTATGTGAAAGTGAAACTGTGTCATTGTAGCTTTTTCATTGGTCAGGTCAGCAATGCCTGAAGTATTTTATTCGAGTCGACGAGGAAGGACAAAATTCCATATTAAAATTTACATCTCCCCCGGTACAGTGTTTCATTAAAAAAAGTCATAGATCCGTTTTTTCCACCTCTATTGTGGAGATGCACCCCTGTATTTTCCATGAGTGTTTTTGCACGCAATAGCTAGCTCTGAAAGTCCAAAGTTGATATGTTTTTAAATTCAGGGCCGTTAATCCTTCGTGTAAAGATATACCAGTTTCCGGTCATTCTTGTTTCAGTATGCATCCCTTTCAGTTTTTCTGATATGTACAGTGGACGATCACTTAGCATATTAATAACCCTCTAATTGAACATCTTCTGTTTTGTTCAGAGGCAGTTGTGGAAGCACCGATAAGCAATCTGGGCCCTGAAGTAGGTGCTATGTCTCCTATGCTATTTTCTCTTTTGCTAGAATTGACATCAACTTGATTTAGGCCATCTTTTAGGTCACCTATTCACATTTGTTAGCATGGCTTGTCGTCACTTATATATGAAGCCTGCTATCCGTGGTTTCGCATTCTAGTTGATATCAGCAAGGAATCCTATGTCTACAAGTCATGAACTTCTGTCCACCCCAAGTATGGTGTCTGACCTCCCCTACAGTGCCAGTTTATTAATCACCCAGGGGATGTATGTAACTTCGTTCCCAGACGTCGGAAGAAACTGTCAGAGTCACCTGTGATATCCAGCAAACACTTTGTCCATGGGTCTAAATGCCATCTACACAACAGTTCTCCACTACATTACCACCAACCAAACCAACTGGTATGTCTGTTTCAGGCTAGAAATCAGTTCCATGGGACCAAATGTTTAGACTGAGGCTCCTGACTGTGCCCTGATCAGTTGGCACTTGGTGCTTCCTTGGGCATGACTCCTCTCCACAATTACAGCAGAAATAATTTGTACATCGGTGATTTGTAGTCATTGCTGAGATGGAGACCATCCCTGCACCAAAGCCAGTCGTTCCTTTCCGGAAAGTCCTCGTTGATATCAAAATAAAACACAGTGTTTGCTACATCCTAACATACAAATACCATGCATGTTTAATAATTTGTATTTACTAAATCAGGTTTTTGTTTATATTTGCTTGAACAATTGAGTCGCTTTTTTTCTTGCCTTGCCACGCTCATTGAAGACTTTGGTCTCGATAAGTGCTACTCTTTCATTGAGGCAGGAAACGTAACTAAGGACTTCGGGGAATTTGTTTTTTTGAAGGTCAGCACATCCTGTTTACCTGCATTTGTGGAAGGAAAAAACAAACAGGAAGAAAGAAATGTAAATACATTTCAACTGTATAATTCCTTTTTTTTTTCTACATTTTCCCCATTGTTTGGGGATTTGGGGATTTATTTTGTCTTGGATCTATAAATCATGCAGACATTTTAAATATAACATTTAACTGTCAGGAGCCTTTGCAACACATCAAGAATCTGCTGCTGCTGTTCTGCTCCTTCCTTTGTTTCTTGTGTTTGTGTGGTGTGGTGTGGTGTCCGGTTGTTGTCCTCGTTTTCGGTCGGGGTATTCCCTCTCCTTGCCTGCCCGTGGTTTGTATCACGACAATGGTGGTCGCCGCCTTGGTTCCACCTGGCATGATCTAGGCTTATTTCAAACACAGTGGCGGAAAAATGATAACCGGTGGATAACTGGTGGATAACCGGTGGATAGAGAATGCAGGAGGTGATGTTGACACGTACAGTACATGTATGTACGTACACGTTCGTACGTTCACCGCATATTTCACCATTAGGTTTCGTGCACGTGATTATGTGTGTTCGTGGTTGCTATGCAGCGCGGTGTTAGCCGCTGGACATCCATTGTGAAACGTTTGGCACCAGTGGACCGGGAACCAGTTAGAAGTTTTTGAGTTTTTCATGTGTTGCCGATAGGTGGCGCCCTTGCCACAACCATTTGGAGATTTTCTTGACCTTTTATTGGCGGGAATTAGACTTCATAATCCTGTAGTCTAGCGGGGTGTTTCCACTATCGCTTTGGGTACCGACTGTGGGGGTTTTGAGAACGTGTTGCTTGATTTTGTTCTTCTTCCTTTTGAGTTAGCACTGTCTCCCAGGCCGACCAGCAGGGCTCCACTGCACAGCTCCACTGCGGTGCCATGCTGACGCCCTCTGCAGGCCGCCCGATGCCACACCGCTCCCTCCGAGGACCCTTGTTAAAGGCGGCGAACATTGGCAACCGGACAACCAGGGAGACTCCGGTCCGGGAAGCGCACACAGGTCTTCATATACAGAAAGCTGGAAAAGAAATGAGAACCACAAAAACAATGAAAACCACCAAAAAAATAATGTTCGTAGATGGTTAGGGTCTTGTGGCAGGCAGTGGTCCTCGCTGTACCTTTGTCAAGCTGCCGCAACAGTTGGTCCCAGAAAGCCTGAGGGACATAGGAAGGGTTGCTTGTGGGCGGAGGTGGGGGTAGTCTCCCAAGTGAGGTTTGTGTAGACACATGTCCACGTAATACTGGGCATACTGCTGTCCCTGGTATGTCTGAAGAAGACACCCAGTGACCTCGTAGGTGTGGACCACCCGTGAACCGTCCATTCCAGGTGCCACTCATCCCTATGGGCCATATGTTAGTCTTGGTGGAAGACCTTCTCGCGTTGATTTGTCACAATTTTCCCCATGAGAGGGCGCTATCATACACGAACCGCTCCCTCGACACGAACCGCTCCCGCGAGAAGGTCTTGGGCCGTGTGCATGATTGAGTTATGTGACCTGATATTCATATTCAACGTGTGGGTCAACAGAATACTACGCACGCGCAAAACTGGAAACCGCTCTCCGCATAATAAGCAGGCCAGCCTGGAAACTTGCATGCATCCGTTGTCCATACTTCAAAGGCGATTTCCTTGCGTCCAAATGCGTATCGCTCACAAAACTCACTGAAGGGAAAAACAATGTGACACTCATTGACTATTTCTTTTAGTGTCAAGTCGGAAAGTCCACATGCTATATCTTGACTTGTATACAAGTGGTCACTACTGTCTGTCAGTAATGTTTCTTTGTATTCTTGCAGCTTGCACTTTAGTTCGGAAACAGCACTGTCTGTCACAGTAACAACTTGGCATTCAGCTGATCCTAGCCCATGCAGCATGATATCCCGTATCTGCTGTTCAGCATGTGATGGTTCAGCTGAGCATGTGTTTTCATCACATGAACATGTTTTTGCACAAATGTCACAGCAGTTGTGTTTAGGTATGACTCTTTTATCACCACTAGATGGGAAGTTGTTCTTGATGGCTAGCCGTCTACATTCTTCTCCTTTCATGAATGCTTTCATGCCCTCTATAGTTTTCAAACCAGCGCTAGCACCGGGATAGTTTACAACGAGTGCCACACTCTGGTTGCCATCACGACCTGCCCGCCCACTCAACTGCATTAGGTCATCTAATTCTGTTGGTTGACCTACCAATATAACAGTATGAAGCCCACGTACATCAATTCCAAGGCCAAATGCAATGGTGGCAAACAGTACTCGAACCTCGCCGTCCTCTAGTGCAAAGCTATTAATAATTTTCCTTTGAACATCTCCTTCAGTGTTAGTATGATACATATCGAAGAATGCATGCGACTCCTTTGGAAGAAGAGAGCAGAATAAGGAGTATAGTTCACTGACATTCTTCCGTGACTGACAGTACAATATAACTCTCTCTGTCGAACGGCCCTTCTCCGAGATCTCATCCGCAATCCACTTGAAGATGGCTTCAAAGTTCTTGTCAGCTGTCTTGACAATCACATATTTAATGTTATGACGTTCAGGACTTACTTCTATTAAGCTGTAGTTCCTCAGCCCCAAACTGTCAACAATTGTTTGCCTCATTGTGGTTGTTGCAGTTGCTGTCATCGCTACAACGCACGTTGATTGGTTCAAGATGGAGCGTAACTCTCATAACTGGCCATAGCACTTCCGAAAAACTGTACTCTGACTTGATGAATGACCCCTGTGAATTATGACAAAAGGATATTATGATAATTAAAAAAATGTGGATTATCCATTAATTTTATAATACAAGTTTTTGGCTTTTACAGTAGGATTTGAAACTACTATTACAATTACAATGTAGTGATCTTTGCAATAACATCATGGAGATAATCTAGCTCTCTTTGTAGTGGTTTTAAATGAAAAACATCACTTCCATGATATTGCTGCAAACCATTACATGTACAAGTATTTTAAAAAGTTGGGGGAAAAAACACTTTGTAATGCTTGATTGTCACTTTAACTCTTACTTCTTTTTTTTTCTTTTTTCTTTATATATTGTTTTGGACTCTATCCAAGCGGGATATTTATCTCAAGTCTTATTTTTGGCACTAAAACAAAATTAAATAAATAAACTTTTATGGCCTATGGGTAATGAATGTTCATTTGCACATCCTTGGAATTAATAAGCTAAAGCCATAAGAAGAGATTATTGTTTAAGGATGGTTCACAAGCTCAGCCACCCATGTGAATAGGTCATAAAAACATGAAAGGAAGAAGATGAATGGGCATGCAAAGAGCTTGGCAGGGTATTACTTGACAAAGCTTTTCAAAGAAGCCATTCACAGGTCTGTCATAAACCCCAAGTGGTCTTACTCTTAACATAAAGGAATAACCCTCTAAACTCTTAGGTAGGCACTCCTATATTCAATTGGTAAATAGAGCAATAAAAGCAGACACAGAACAATTCTTTGAAAACAACACCGACTCTCATGAGCAATGAATAGAACATCCATTATTGTGTAGACACCATGTCTACCTAGTTAGCCAATGACAAAAACTTGAAAAAATATGTGTACATTTCTTATGCTGTTGATAACTTCCTATTGGCTTTCAAGTTTATCTACATGACCAACAAAACAACTTACTTACCCCCCCCCACCCCTTTGTGATTTATATTTATGTGGCAATCACATTTTCCTTAGGCTAGCCATGTTTGCTACACACTTCTTTAAGATCAATCTTAGGTTTTTGTGAAACCAGGCTTTTATGCAGATCAGTTGGAACAGATTTTGTTTAATAATGTTATTTAATTTTGTTCTGCAAAATATGCCTAGGATTAGGAATGGCCGAATATTAAAAAAAAAAAAAGAAGGTACATACCATTTCGATACGCAATGACTTTCGTCAACAAACAATCCACAGCATCTGTTTTTGACCAACAGCAGTAGTTCCTTCCCTTTGCTTGAGCAAAGACTCTCTGGACTGGCAAACAAGATCGAGTATTTAGGCGATTGTTCCAAAACATGGTCTGGGATATCCGAAGTAATATCAGCAGCCTCCAGACCGAGTTTGCAAACTCGGTCTAACTGATCTACTGCCAGAGCCTTTAGCGGCAGGACGACAATAACCAATGATTTGTCGCAATCGCTGGTGTTGTCGTTTCCACGAACACGGTCACTACCTTTCAAATAGTCCACAACAACTGTGGAAGCTTGGAAGATCAAGCTTTTTTCAAACCCAGTTGGTAAATTGATAAATATATCATTACCCTGGGCGAATTGCCGAAGAGCGTTAACTTGTTGGCTTTTACACTTATCTAGACCTAACTTTCTTGCAGCAAAATCAATAGCATCATCTACTCTGTCGGATGCCATTTTTGTGTTAGCACGATCGACGCGTTTGTTGTCGTCGTTATGTACTGTACATTGTACAATGCATGGATGCCTAGCTGTTTCTGGACGTACAGACACCAGACTGTGATAAATTATGCTAATACTGCTACGTCAGAGTTTATGCAGGCCCCCTGCAGCGACATGGTTGGAATGTGCTCGGAATTTCGCGAGCATATCATGCACACGGTCCAAGACCTCCTCGTGGGAGCGGTTCGTGTACTGGAGTGGTTCGTGTATGGTGGCGCCCTCTCGTGGGGAAAATTGTGACAAATCAACACGAGAAGGTCTTCCACCAAGACTAGCCATATGTGTGTGGGGCCTCTCTGGTGGCGCTTGGTTGCCTGATTGTGACGGCCATCTCCAGCTGAAGACCTGGCAGGGAGAACTCGAGTGCCCATTCCACAGTGGAATGGGGTCTCGGTGGACGCAGGGGACTCTGTCTGCATTCCCTCCTCCGGCCTGGCCAAATCAGTGTCTGATGTTGACTCAGGTTCCACGGTCCTTACGGTGTTGCAGCCGCTCGCGGTGGAGGCATTTGGGGTCATTCCGTAGGTTTACGACCCTCTGAGTGGCCACGGTCCTCCAGCCTACTCGACTCCGGACTCCGCCGCTTCTTCTGTGGGGGTGATGACGGGGAC